TAGCCCCACGGGGTATAATCCAGTGGTGCAAAGGATAGGAGTGAGATAGTCTCAGCCTTACTGACAGTCAAAGTGTCAGGGTTCAATTCTTGAGATATGAAATTGGATTTTTTGTGGGCACCAGTGTACATGCAAGCTCTTGTTTCCTGACCTATTGGGGCACATCCCGCGATTTACCTCCCTCATGATACTTCAAGGGCGGGGCGATAGAGGCCCTCAAGGTTGAGGTTCAACCTTTTTTTAGAGGGATCCATGTTGTGTTGAATTCTTCAATCAGGCTCGTTAGATGTAGATTATTGAATGATTTTCAAAAATATTTTTACTAAAAATCCAAGTGCTTGACTACAATTTAAACAATTTCTAAAATTAATTCATATAATCATATTTTGATTCAAGAAGTAAAATAATATATATGTACTCCTGTTTGCCTCGAGATTAGGCATTGCAATCAAATTGAGTTGCACAATAATTCAGCTCAATCCATGGATCGTTTGGGCAGATATTGAGATGAGCCACGAGTCAAGGGCTCAGGCTCGACTCGTACCTTACGAGTCAAAGGATCGAATTGAACTCAGGTATCTAAAGATGGATCGAGTCAGCTCAATCCATTATCTCTCCCACTTGTGACTACAAGAAAAATAATATAAAGAAAAAAGAAACTTGGTCCTTTAAGGTTAGGAATGCAAGGTGTAGTTCACTCTCAAAAATTAAATGGAATTTTCCATTCCAAATTATCTGTGTCAACTGATGTATCTAAAATAACTTTACCTTATTTTTGTTTATTCACTGAAGAACAAAGAAATCAACTTGTCTTTATAAGTGTGATTAATGTGATAGAACTCGATTTCCCCACTCTTTTTCTGATCATTCGAAAAAAAATGATTCACTCTCTTCGTAAAAAATAGGAAGTAGAACCATGACGTTTTGTTTTTTCTTAAAGGAGCTTAAACTCAAGGTTTAACTACTATAGTATTCCGATAAACTATGTTATCCCTATCCCTACTACTTAAAAGAGGAAATCCTACCAGCAATGTTCATTCATGAAGAATTTTTTTTTTTTTTTTTTCATCTTACCCTTAATTTGACTATTCATTTAGGGGGCCATGTGTGGGAAAAGGGCAATATGGATATTTCACACTTTAGGTCCGGTTGTACCATCTGTTAGACCCTATACTTCTCAAATAAGCTTCCTCTCTGGGTTATGCTGTGTGTAGAGGCCTCCAAAACACACACAATAACGGGTGGGTGGGCATTTTTTGATGGAAAAATATTGTTCAAAATCAATAAAGAGTTGTGTGGAATAAAAGTGGAAATGAAAGTGAAGAAATTGAGGTGTCTCTTCATGTATGCCACCGTACAGCCCTTAAGGGTGCAGTCGCGTGAGACAGTGCAGGGCCTTTAGGCCCTGTTTCCGAACAACCTATGCGGTCACTTAGGATTCTTCTATGCAACCGCATAGCAGTTTCAACTAGTTGTTGGTGGCGGTTTTTTTTATTCAAATTTGGCGGCCTTTCACTTATACTTTGGCACCACTTCGTATAGTAATGTTTCATAGCTATAAATAGGTGGTTGATGATCCTTCTAATATTAAGAAAAACACTTGATTACATTTGTGATCATAATCTTCATTCCTAAAAGAAAAAATCAAAGTCTTCTTCATCATATTCAATATTTCCTTTGTGTTCTTCAAGTTTTGAAGAATTCATACAAGTGCTTAAGTATTAATTCTCTACAAGACTTGATTATTCCTACAAATCATTTGCTGCGAGAACCTTTAAGCACCAAAATTATATCCAAGAGGGGGCAAATATCATTTAAGGACAACGATATAATGTTGTGTTTGAACCTTCATATTTATTATGATTTTCTTCTTATTTTCATCTTCTTGATTATTTTTATATATTGTTTCTTCTCCATTTTCCCAGATTGATACAAATTTTTCAACAATCTCAAACGATATTTTGCGATGAAAAACGAGACCACTTTGGCGATGATCAAGTTAATGGATCGAGATCTTGTTCATGTGGACCATTTGATGGCACTAATTTCATGGGATGGTTCAACTTGTAGAAAGATATGAATCCAGATTCTCGTATTCAAATTTGGTAGATTGTTATTTTGCCTCTCCAAATTCGGTAAGTCAAAATTGCATTTCAATTTCATGTGTGCATGCGGTATGTTTTGTGAACATAATGAATGAACATTATCGGTATAATATCCTCAACAATCCTAAGATGAAATTTGTTGTTGTGCATAAAATGCTCTATTAGAAATTGAGATACATACGTGTATCATGTGTTGGAATTTGTGCATTCTGGAGCACACATGAAATTAAATTGAATAAGTGTTGAATCTGGTTCTTATAATAACAAAGTTAGATAGTTTATTATATCTCTGCATATACTTATGACCGTCGACGGTGGAGTCTCTTAAAGTCATGCATATTTGAAGTCATAAATTCATGTTTTGATCCATATTTGCAAATCTATGTGAATTACTTTCCATTTGAATTACGGTGTGATGTCACCTTTGATATTAGGGCTGCATTAAATAATGACTTTAGCCAGCCATGAAAATATGATAAAAAGTGAATTATATTATGTGGCTGCAATTGTTAATCAAATTGAATGGAAGTTGTTTTATTTTTGAACAAGTGCATACAGCAGTTTTATTAAATAATGACTTTTCATTTTAAATGTAACTTAAATCAATTATGGTGGCAAATGGTAAAAAGTGAATTATTATGTGACTGTTCGCAGGTACTTATAATATATTATTTCAGAATTTTGCATACATTGGCAAATTCTATTCCATAATAGAAATTCTCCACAAGTAATTTTCATTCTAATTGCATTGGAGTATGTTCGGAATTTAAATTTGCATTCAAATTTAAATTGCTGAATTCTGGTTTCTTAAATTTGGTACCGAAACGGTGTGATCCCATTGTATCTATCTATTTGGTGTAAGAAAGGCGCCAAGAATTCTGAATTGTTGATTGGCATGAAAACAGTTGCTAGTTTGCAACCCTTTTGGTTGTTGGTTTATTTGGGAATGGATGCCACTAGAGAATTGTATTTTTTTCAATTCAAAATCTATTAAATGGTGCCTATTTTTATCTATGGAAAATAAAGTGAATATGTACCTTGTTATTCAGTGTGATATAATGTTATCTTGTGAAAGTGATAAATCGCAATTTTGTAAATCAAGAAGCTTAGTCTTATTCATTGTCGAATTCAACTATAATCTTGGAACCAAATGAATTTGGTTTAAGCTTGGAAAAGCATAGTCGGTTTATGAGATGACCTTGATCAAATTGTGTGATAAAAAATTAAAGATAGTCGGTTTGAAGTACATTTTGACTTAATGACCACTCTCTAAAAGTACCTAAACTTTCACGGGTGTTGTCAAAGTGATAAGTGAAATAGTTAATGAATGAGTTCAAATATAATCCCAAATGTGGGGGTTAATATATTGATAAATTCTAAGTTCGAGAATAACCCTAAATATGGGGGTTATCAATAAAGCTTGTGAGCCTATATGAGACATTCAAGGTGCAATATTCGAGATTGCATATGAATTCCTAATTAAGAAATTGTGGGGGTAACTTAGTATAAAAGTTACTTATACCTTTTAAGAAATCCATGGAATGGGTAAAAGCTAATTATGTCGTTTGCAAATTGATGGGAATATTTGAGGAATATTCATAATATTGAAGATCATTGTAATATTTCAATGATGAAAATTAAATACCCATGTGTGAAATACACAAGTTAAAGTAATAGACTAAATGTAGAGATTTGAAAAAAAAAAAATCTTTCAACTGTGTTTGAACGTCAATAAAGCTTTAATAAAGCTAGTGAGAAGCATGGAGTTTCATAAAAGATTTCTTGGTGGTGACAATTTGTATATATTAAATGAATTGATCGTTGACTAGCTACATTTAATAAAAATGCTAAGTCACACATAATTGAAAGTCAAGATGCATGAGTCTTAGATGTGACTTTGCAAGAAATTATTAAACACGGAATAATTTTCATAGAGAATTTAGCCGATACTTTAAATTAAAACCTTTAAATAGAAATTTGGAGGTGTCTACTTCAAGTTGGATGGGGTTGAAACTCCTAAATTATAAAGACCCACCAATGACGGAAACCCTACTTGTCATTACTCAAAGCTAGTCCACGGGTTCAAAGGGTAACAACAAGTCATTCAATATGTGGATAGTTGCAGCATTATTAAAATTCGTAATAATCATATCCTAATTAAAATAATGCTGGTTGTTACTGAAATGAGGGTTGAGCTTTAAGCTCTTAATGAAGTTCAATGTTAAAACACAAGTACCTCTAAAAGTAATAAAGGTGCTGGAAAAACTTCACCTAAATGAACTTCGAGGTGGTGCTGCTTCAATAGAGAGTTGGAGTTTCTCTCTTAAAAGTTTGTCAAAAAGGATGAGCGCAAGGCCATATTAGCGCTAATAAAGTTGAGGAACTTGAGAACATGTAATACTTGTGTGTGTGTTCTTATCGGTATTGTCACATGGAACAATTGGTTCAAAACTTCACGCTACCTTTGATTTCGACTTTACTTTGTTTGAATTACACTATGATTATATTCAAATTGAAAGATATCTAATCCTTATGCATGTGTATTGTATACTTTGAATATGAGACTTTATTAAATTTTGAACATGTGGGGGATTGATGGAAAAATATTGTTCAAAATCAATAAAGAGGTGTATGGAATGAAAGTGGAAATGAAAGTGAAGAAATTGAGGCGTGTCTTCATATATGCTACCACACAGCCCTTAAGGGTGCAGTCGTGTGAGACAGTGCAGGACCTTTAGGCTCCACTTCCAAACAACCTATGCGGTTGCATAGGAGATTTAATTAGCCGTTGGTGGCGGTTTTTTATTTAAATTTGGCGACCTTTCACTTATACTTTGGCACCACTTCGTATAGCAATCTTTCATGGCTATAAATAGGTGGTTGATGATCTTTCTAACATCAAGAAAAACACTTGATTACATTTGTGATCATAATCTTCATTCCTAAAAGAAGAAATCAAAGTCTTCTTCATCCATATTCAATATTCCCTTTGTGTTCTTCGAGTTTTAGAGAATTCATACAAGTGCTTAAGTATTGATTCTCTACAAGGCTTGATTACTCCTACAAATCGTTTGCCGTGAGACCCTTTAAGCATTAAAATTATATCCGAGAGGGAGCAAATATCGTTTGAGAACAGCGATATAATGTTGTGTTTAAACCTTCATATTTATTATGATTTTCTTCTTATTTTCATCTTCTTGATTATTTTTATATATTGTTTCTTTTCCATTTTCCTTGATTGATGCAAATTTTTGAACATTTTTTTGCAACATTTTATTCATATGGTGCCATCCATATGAGCATTCTAAAGGGGTTCTCCTCTGTACACACAGACTAATTCCCTCTCTATCTTTCTTATTATCCGTTAGATTTTTTTTGAAAGAGACTTCTGAAATGCAGTGTGGTATCCAAAGCCTTCCAAACTAACCTTAATTTTCTCTTTTTAAAGAGACGAAGTGACGTCTAGAACGTGTTTTCTTCATCCTGCTGCGATTTACAGCAGCTTTCTTCAAACGAGTAAAGTTGTTCATCTTTATTCTGTGTTGATTTTAAAAAAGGAACATTGATGGAAAGTTTGATATTTTTGGTGAACGGATTATAGAGTGTTTGAACTGCACTCGGAGATAGTGGAGAAGATAATGAGTTGCCTTCTCTCTGGGATCCGCTGCCATCTATATCTAGTTTAAGAATTTCATTAATTTCTTAGTTTCTATAATTCGATCTAAGGTCATAGTTTTAATTCTTTTCACTTTTGACATCTAATACAGGTCCTATAGTAGAAGATATGTTCCATTGGCAAGCAATGATTATGAGACCTTCTGATAGTCCTTATTCTGGAGGTATATTTTTGGTTCTTTTTCCTCCCAATTACCCTTTTAAGCCTCTGTAGGTATGCTTGTATCTTGTACATTAGTTGTATATTACTGCCAATCTTTAAGTCATTTGCTCACTTGTATTCCTTGGGACTCCATAGTGAAAAGTAGATAATTGAGCAGGCAGATATCTTTCTTGATACTAGGTGTTGAAGACCTTCATATATTATCAGTTTCTAAGCTAAACATATTATTAGGTAGAATGATTTACCTTGTCCCCAAGTGCAATTTTGCAAATTAAGTTCACACGAGTTCATTCTCTACTTTTCAGGGTTATTCTTTTCCCTATGGTGTCTTGCAAAATGTTGTCCTGAAATTTCAACTTCTTTTTCCCTGGAAGTTAATTCAACTTCTTTCTTGCAGTACAGAACAGAATTAGTCACATGAGTCATCAAAAGTTGTAGATATAAGGCTCTAATAGCATGTTTGGCTAACTTGAAAGTTTTATAAGTAAATTAGTAAGTTTTAAATGAATATATTTTGATCGATGATAGTTGAAAATAACTAGCTTAAAAGTCCCAAAAACGGCTTCGTTTGAGCTATTTGGATTGTATGAAAGAGTCATCCTATCAAAAAAGACAATTATTTTTTAGAAGAAAAAAGTCTAACGGGTGGCTTAAAGTGATTTACCTTTTTAAGGCTTAGCCAAACATGCACATATAACTTTGTGGAAACTAATTCTAGTTTCTTCTTGTTGCTGTTGTAGTGACTATTTATTTTTTCTCTCCTGTCAAATTGTTTTATTTCTAATAACACCCTTGCTAATTCAAACCTTTAATTTCAATATAGCAAACACGATTAAGCTATAATCCTGATCATTCTCCATTTTTTGCAGGTATGAAATATATATGACCCAGTACCGAGCAATATTTTGTAGTCAATTGCAAGATTATGAGTGAGAAAGTGTCAGAACCAAGCAATAAACGAAAGTGGAACAAAAAAAGGTTCAAAATAAAGCAGGTACTGGTGCTGCTGAAACATTTAAGTGCTGTGCAGTTTGTTCAACAGATGTGGGAGTAATAGACAAGGAAGAAGTTTATCATTTCTTGAATGTTTTTCCAAGTGAGGCTTGATTAAGCATCCTCTCTGTATGAAATTATCGATGTGACAAGCGTGATTTAGTTTATGATTGTTGACCTCGAAAATTGGTCCTTCCACGTGGCCAACTGAAAGCTACTCCACGTATTCCTCCCTGTGCACAATCAACGAATAGTCGGACGCACACGGCCGGAACCAGCGGGGGTGGTGATGACCGTATACACTTCGACGGTCAAATCAGGTTTAAGTGGTCGGAACAGTACCCAGGGGCTGTGCAAATCAATGATAAAGGGGGAGGAGAAAATATATAAGCTTGCTATGGAGTGTTGTGTAGTAAGAGTTTCATTACCTTTGTCTCTTGCCAAACCTTGGGTACTTATAGGTGGTATGAACCGTTGGATGTGGGACGCGTGTATACATCTGACGGTATGAGGCGTCCGCTCATAGGCGTCAATCAGCTACGTCTGTAGAGTGGGCGGACAGTTTATTTCTTCTGAGTTGAATTGACATAAAGTTGATAAGTCACATCAACTAGCCTCATGGAGACGTCAAATCAATTTAAACCTTAGGTGCAGGAAGGATCTTGGCACAAATCTCTTTCTGAAATTGGCGGCGGATCTTCTAATCGGGGTCCACTTGACCTCGACCTCGGAGGCGAGGTGCTTCGGCAGGTCAGTAGTAGGAATCGATATATCACTTCGGAAACACTTCGGACGGGTCGTTATCAGGTCGGAATATGTGGTGTTGCGAGTTTCGAGGCGTATAAGATCAGGGCGTAACAGTAGTCCCCCAAGTCCAGGTATGAATATTTATATCATGCGTGGACTTGCTTTTCTGACCGGACCGCGAGTCATGGGAGTTTTGGGGCTTGATCTGTTGCAGTAATCGAGGTTATGATCCCAGCCAGACATGCCAAAGTTTCGTTACTGTGCGTAACGTACGAGGCGGTCAACTAACATGGAATTTCGAGTAAGGTGCGTCGAAACTTCGTGAATATGGTGCCCTGACCCCATAGACCGACGCGTTGGGAGATTGCTGAAACTTTGTAAAGCGTGGAAGGGAACGTAGCGTCCGAGGCGATGACCCAAAGGGGCCGTCGCGTCAGGTGCGTCCAAGCTTTGTAAAGTTGAGGGAGGAGTTCATCTGCCACCGGTGCGCTGATCTGCAAGGCCGACGCGTTGGGAGATGGCTAAAACTTTGTAAAGCATGGGAGATAACGCGGCGTCCGAGGCCATGACCCAAAGGGGCCTTCGCTTCAGGTGCGTCCAAGATTTGCAAAGTTGAGGGAAGAGCTCATCTGCCACCGGTACGCTGACCCACAAGGCCGACGCATTGGGAGATGGCTAAAATTTTGTAAAGCATGGGAGGTAACGCAGCGTCCGAGGCGATGACCCAAAGGGGCCTTCGTGTCAGGTGCGTCCAAGCTTTATAAAGTTGAGTGAGGAGCTCGATCCGAGGCGATTCAAACGTCAAATGATTTCACAACTGTTGCGTGTTTTCAAGGTGACAATTGGGTGCCATGCCCATTCTCCTAAAAGGCTGTTGCGGCTACTAATTATAATTGGCGGCTGGTTGTAACCGAGGCAACGCATTTCAAGCAAGCGTGAAAGTCACAGCGATATCTTGGGCGTAGATCAAATCTGGCTTTTCATTTCAATGGCCTAGATAGAAGATGCGATGAACGGCCTAGATTGATCACATTTGAATTCGACGGTGGAGATCGGATTTGTCTTTCTATAAAAGGAGGACTCTGAGGTTTTCTCAGGCTTTCTACCCTTGCGAAACCAACACTATATTTTGCTCTTGAGTCATTGGCGATTTTCGACGTTTTCTAAGCAATTTCGGCGAGAAAATTAAACTTCCGACGACCTTACACCGTTTCCGGCTAGGAAAACCTCCAAACTCGTAAATTCCAGTACCTATTTAGGCTTTTAAATTTTGAAAAAATGGCCTCAGAGGGGAGTTCTGGTTCGGGGAGGGGTTTAGAACTGGTGAGGATGGAGGAGCCCATTGTGGCGACCTCCTCAGAAATAGCTGAGGCAATAATGGGGGGGCAATAAATGGAAGCGACCGGATAGCCCAGCAGATACTTCTGTGCATTGGGGGACATCGGATTACCCGTCCAAATTAAGAGAGGCCGACCTGGGGAGACTTAGGACAGAGTATAGGATCCCTGATAGCATAAATTTCATCCTTCCCGGGCCGGAAGAGAGAGCCTGCTACCCTAGGTCGAACTGTGTGGCCATTAGTGAGGCGATCCTTAAGGCCAGACTTAGGCTGCCCGTTCACCCATTCTTTAGGATGGTGCTTAGGTCCTATGGGCTAGCCCCGACGCAGCTCAATCCGAACTCCTAGAGCCAAATGGTGGGTTCCTGGATGTTGTGAAAAGAGGCGTCATTAGGGGTGGAGATGCCCCTCTCCGTTTTCCAAACCCTTTATATACCTAAGGTTACTGCCGGGGGGATAAGACCCGGGGATGGTATTACCTCACTTCATGGGGTTCCCACACTCCATTCGTGGTCGATCTGCCGAGCTCCATCAAAGAATGGAAGAGCTCATGGTGCTGGACTGCAAGGCGATGGGACACGATAGATGGGAACCCCATGGCGCTTCTTACGGTCCCAACGAAGTATTCAACACTTAGTGAGTATAGTAGTAGTTTTTCCTTATATTTCTCTTCGGTTCGAATTGTGTCTAACAGTTACATTTCCTTTGTAGGTGTTCTTCCTCGGTGCGAGTTGTCAACCGAGGACTTTGACACCCATCTGTGTCATTTATCAGCTGCCTCAAAAGAAGAAGTCTTACCACAGGCTGATCCAAAAGAACATCCACTTCATTACTCACAATTTAATGGCATCCTAAGGTAACTGGACCGAAGTTTTTGCTTTTTATTCCGAACTCCCAAGACTTGTATTAATTCCTTATTAGGTTTTTTGTAGACAACTTTAATAAGAAGATGCCAATACGCCCCGACTTCAAGACCATCCAGAAGATGATGGCAGAGGCACGGGCGTTGAAGGCCTCCTCCTCCTCGTACAAAAAGCAAATGGAGGATTTGGTGGAGCCAGTAAGAGGCTCCAGCCTCTAACGGAGGAGAAGGTACCGGAGGACCCGGAGGCTGACCTTCGAAGGAAGGGCAAGAAGAGTGCCGTCCCTCCAAGGCGCCCAACTGTGGCGAGGCCACCCTCAGCTCTGAGGCAGACCACAATTCCCATCGGGGTGGCCATCTCAGAGAGAAGGCCCGCTCCAACTGAGCCCGCCACTACCCCGGCTACAATATCCCTCGCTGCAGTGCCAATTAACCAAGTGTCGGGGCAGCAGAAGAGGAAAAGGCCCCGTCCCTCTAAGGAGGTCGACTTTCTGGGCACCAATCTTGAAGAGCCCGTAAGGGAAGTGTTGGAGGCTCTTCCTCTAGAAACAGCTGCGGTGGCAGTGGTCCACAATAAATACTGGACAGAGGAGTGGAGGGACCACACCGCCTCCTGCACGGCTGAGAATTTGGTAGCCACAAATAGATTTTGCGTGGCTCGGGCCCTGAGTACAAGTATCTAGTTTGAGGGCTTGGTGAAGGATCTGAACTCTAAGAGAGAGGACCTCGCCAAGCGCCTCGAGGAGGCGATGCACTACGGGGATGCCGTGCAGGCAGCTCAGGCCAAAGCCACGCAGGCAGAGGAGGGGAAGAAAGATACTAATGCCTAGCTAACTGCCGCCAAAGCAGAAGTGGAACGACTGAAGAAGGAGTTATATGAGGTGGAATGCCAAGTGACTACTGTGACTCGGCGACTTGATCACGCCAATGAGCACCACAAGCTCGCCACCGATGCTCTGGAGGCCTCCAATAAAGAGAAGGCAGAGCTGAGGCAGAAGGCAGAGGCCCAGTCAGAAGAGATTGCCTCTTTGAAGGAGGAGTTGAAGTCTGCGGGGGAGGTGGCAGTCCAGAACATCATAGACCACTTTGAAGACCATCCCCTGTATGATGACTTCGCTAACTTCTGGGCCTCATGGAGTGCCCAAAGCTTATTGGGTCGACTGAAAGAGGTGCACCCCACTCTGGACATCTCTTAATTGGAGGCAGAGTTTGGGGGGCCAACTGGAGGTCGGCCTGATAGGCTCGTCGAGGGGGCTCCGGAGGCCCAGGAGGCGGCTAATGTAGAAGTCCCTCCAGCAGAGTAGGGTTACCTTTTGTAATGACTTCGGCCTCCTTGTACATACTCAGTTTGTCGCATAAGTCTTACATTTCTGGACAAACTGGCAAGCATCCCTTTTCAGGGTCGGTCAGAAGTAGCCTTGACGGAGAACCTTGTGTGCCAGAGCCGTTCCTCCGGAGTGATTTCCACAAATTCCTTCATGGACTTTCCTAAGTATGTATGTGGCCTCTTCGCCTCTTACGCATTGAAGAAGCGACGAGGCAAAGCCTCTCTTGTAAAGGGTATCTTCTTGCAGGACGAAGTGTGCTGCCCTTCTCCTTAATTTCCTCACCTCGCCTCTGGAAGCAGGCATTGTTTGCTTCTTCAGGTAAACGATGATGGGCTACATCCATAATGGGTTGCCTTCTATCCACAGTATCTCTTCACCTTCGGAGGTGGAGGACTTTAATAAGTGCTCAATAGGGACGATGTTTAGCAGCTCTGAGTCCATGCTGCTGGCTAACTTTGAGAGGGCGTCTGTATGTGCATTCTCTAGACGGGGGACTTGAGTCAATTTGAACCTTTAAAAATGAGGAATTATGTCCAGAACCAACTTCAAGTACGCAATCATGTTACCATCTTTGGCTGCAAAATTTCCATTGACCTGATTTACTATGAGCTGAGAGTCACTGCTCGCCAGGAGCTTCCTGACCCGCATCTCCTTAGCAAGTCTAAGACCTGCCAGAAGGGCCTCGTATTCGGCGGCGTTGTTCGAGGCTTTGAAGCCGAACCTTACGGCACAATTTAGCTTGTGGCCTTCCGGGCTCTCCAATACGATCCCTGCCCCTGCGCCAGCCTCTCCTGAGGACCCATCTACGAACAGTTTCCATGTGGGGTGCTCGGCTGGTTCCATTATCGCCTCCATTTCTGGGGTTTTGGCAAACTCAACCATAAAATCAGCAAGGGCCTGGCCATTGATGGTGTGTCAAGGTCGGAACGTTAGATCTAACTCACTGAGCTCGATTGCCCATTTTAGCAGTCGTCCTGATGCGTCTGTTTTCTACATTACCTGCTTTAGAGGGAAGTTGGTGAGAACTTGTATTGAGTGGGCTTGGAAATATGGCCTCAGCTTTTTTGAGGCTGTGATAAGGGCGAGTGCCAATTTTTCCATGTCTGGGTAGCGTGTTTCAGCTGGGAGAAGCGCTTTGCTGATGTAGTACACTAGCAATTGGCGCTCATTTTCTTCCCTGATTAGGACTGCGCTGACTGCCACATTCGAAACTGCTAGATACAGTAGTAGAGATTCATCCGGTTGAGGTTTCGACAAGAGGGGCGCTTCCCCAAGGTGCTTTTTCAGAGCCTCGAAGGCTTTTTCACACTCCGAAGTCCATTGGAATTTCTTTCCTTGCTTCAACACATTGAAGAAAGGCAAGCTTTTATCTGTGGCTCTGGAGATGAAGCAACTGAGTGCGGCTATCCGACCGTTGTGACTTTAGACCTACTTCGGTTTCTGAGGTGACCTCATTTCTAGCAAGGCCGTTACTTTCACTAGATTTGCCTCAATTCCTCTCCGATTTACAATATACCCTAAGAACTGGCCCAATGCCACTCCAAAGGTACACTTGAGGGGATTCAATTTCATATTATACTTTCTAAGTATCTGAAAAGTTTGGTCGATGTGACTCACGTGTTCGGTTGCCTGGAGGCTTTTGACCAACATGTCGTCTACGTAGACCTTCATGGTTTTGCCAATGAGTTCGGCAAACATCATGTTGACTAACCTCTGGTATGTGGCTCCAGCATTTTTCAATTCGAAGGGCTTGACTTTGTAGCAATGCAGACCCTGTCCGTAATGAACGATGTAGCTTCCTCATCAGGTCGGAACATGGGTATCTGGTTATACCCTGAGTATGCATCCATGAAACTCAGTAGTTCATGCCCAGCATTAGAGTCCACAAGTTGATCTATTATTGGAAGTCGAAAGCTGTCTTTGGGGCACGCCTTATTTAGGTTTGTGAAGTCCACGCATACCCTCCACTTTCTGCTGGGCTTTTTTACCAGAACCGGGTTGGATATCCACCTTGGATAGATAGCCTCTCTTATGAAATCACTGCGGCTAAGTTTGTTTACTTCGTCTTTTAGTACCTCATACCGTTCCTGATTTAGGGCACGCCTCTTCTGTCTATGGGGAGGCATAGGAGGGTTTGATGTTAAGGTGATGGCAACTGATCCTAGGATCTATTTCCATCATATCTTCATATTTCCATGTGAAGACATCTAGGTATCCTTTCAGGAAGCATATCATCTCGGCTTTTGCTTCAGGTGACAATGACTTCCCTATACGCAAGACTTGACTGGGGTCTTCCGGGTTGACAGGAAAAGTCTCCAATTCTTCCATTGGGGTCGCATTTGGTTCAGAGCCAATTATTCGGGGGTCTAACTCATCAAGAGGGTGTCCTTGTTCAGGAGCCTCTTCCATGCCGACGTCTCCCTCTTATTTAGAGGTATGCTCTTGTTCAGGGGCGTCGAGCATTTCCACGTCTATACCGACCTCAGCGAGTACCTCAGTTAGGATTACATTAACAGTTTGGGGCTCGGACTTTTGCAGTGAGTTTAGGTAGCATGCCCTGGAGCCCATCTAATCACCTCGGACCGTAGTAATCCCATGTTCGGTTGGAAATTTCATACACAAATAGCGAATGGACGTCACAGCCCAAAGATCTTTCAGAGCAGGTCTGCCTAATATTCCATGATAAGCTGATCTATGATCTACCACCAGAAATTTAATGAAGTGCTGGGCCACTAGGGGTGCCAAACCCATTTCGACAGGCAGGGTGATCCGCCCTCGTGGGATGATGTTGTCCCCAATGAATCCGAATAGTAGGTCGGTCATGGGGATTAACCCATGTTCAATTTGCATTTTTTCAAAAGTGGAGCTGAACAATATGTTCACGAAACTATCATTGTCAACGAGCATGCGTTTTAATCCGTTTCTAGCTATTACGGCTCTTACAACTAATGCATCACAATGGGGGTGGTGAACTCCCTCTGAGTCTTCCTGGGAGAAGGTGATTGGGGCCATCCTGTTTGCTGATTTTGATTTATTGACAATGTAAGTGATAATTGAGGGATCCTTTGCTTTTCTTGTGTAATTTCTCTGGGCATTCCTGGGGTTACCACCGACGTGGGGTCCCCCAATGATAGTATCGATCTCCCTGATGACCTGGCTTCTAGAAAATTGGGCTTCGTTCCACTGTCTGGATTGACCTCGGTCCCTCGATTCTCTTCTCCGAGGAGATTGTTCCCTGTGACCTCTCCCTCCCCTCCTTGGGGAGGCGAATCTGCGAGGGTGTTCGTTCTTGCTGGAAGTGTGCTGGTTGTTTTGATCAGGGTGTCGATTGGCATCACGACACTTACTAGTGTCATGTCCGTATAGTTGATGGAATGTACAAAACCTTGCTCCTTCCAAGGGTCTATTTGTCCTCTTCTTCTTCTTCTTCTTATTGTTATCAGTTCTTCCAGACAGTCCCGCTTCGGCAGGGGCATTATCATATGCTAGCACCGGTACTACATTCAATGTGACGAAGCTAGGGCCTGTCCGGATGTGGGAGCTATGGTATGTCCTGCTTGGGTTCATTGCTGAGTAACAAGGTGTGCTGTGGGTCTTCGACCTACCTACCTCTGAGGAGGAGGGAGTCCCTGTGCGGCACGGTTGCGATGATCAATCATTTCTTCACTAACAATTTTCACTCTCATCATTTCCACCAGCTCGTCATATGTAGAGGGATTCTTGCTGCGCACGTCCCTCCAGAACAAAGTGTTCATGTTGAGCCCACCCTTCAGAGCTGAAAGGGCTTCTCTGTCAGTGACCTGTTTGCAGTATGTAATTTCGTCTGTAAACCTGGCGAGATAGCTTTTCAGCGTCTCCTCAGGGGCCTGCCTCATGTTTCGCAGGCGTTGAACTGGTGCTTCTCCTTCCCTACGTGAGAGGTATTGGTTCAAAAATATTTTCTTCAAATCTGGCCAACTTCTAATGCTTAGGAGAGGAAGCTTGCTGTACCATACCTCGGCAACCCTGCCTAGTGTTAAATGGAAAGCTCTGCATTTTAAAGCAGGCGAGACTCCCCTCAAGCTCATCTGTGTCATGTACTTGGTGAGGTGCTTCTCCGGATCTCCCTTTCCTTCATACTTGGGGATCTTAGGGGGCATGAAATTTGCTGGCATTGGGAAGTTTCGAATTTCCCTTCAGAAAGGGAGGTTACCATCATCATTGTCAATCTCATAAGATCGACAGGGCCCATCTGACCCTTCATCATCTTGGATGTCCTGGGGAGGTGGAGGTGCTTCTCCTCGACTTCCCCAATCGACTAGGTTCCTTCTCTCTCTCCTATTTTTAGGGGGAGGAGGGGGAGCATGTTCTTGTTCATGATCCGGACGAACTGATCCTTTTGCTGGGCGGACGATATTGCTAAGATCCTCCCCTATCTGGTCGAAGACGCTTACCGACCTTTGGTCCTCATGTTCCTGAGGGAAATTGTCCTCCAAGCGTGGTTCTGATGGCTGACTCTCTTGCACATAAGATGTAGCTTCGGCGTTCATCTCCCTTTCGAGGGGGCGTTCTGTGTGCCGGTTCATGTGGCCTCGGGAGTGAGATAAAGGGGCTTCCCGCACCGGATAAGATCCTTGGGGCATTTGATAGCCCTGATGACCCTGGGCTTGCATGAGGAGTTCCTGCATCGCCATATTCTGAGATGCTATGTCTCTCATACCTGCAGTTATCTCAGCCATTCCTTCAGTGAGTATGGCTGTTCTTCCACCTCGACGACAACGATGATGTGGTCTCTGATGAGTAATATTGTTATGGAGTACCTCTTCTTCAGAGGCCTCTCTCAGGGGGTTTTCGTCTTCATGGCTGTAGCTCATCCTACCTCTTTTTTCAAGGGTAGTGAGAACTTGGATTGTAACTCGACTTTGTTCTTTTTCAAGAATGCCCCCTTTTCAGTGTTAGTCGCTATTTTTTCGGTAACTTCTCCGATGGAGAACGTAAAACTTCGAATGGGGAGTGTTTCCCACAGATGGCGCCAATCTGTTGACCTCGAAAATTGGTCCTTCCACGTGGCCAACTGAAAACTACTCTACATATTCCTCCCTGAGCACAATCAACAAATGGTCAGACGCACACGGTCGAAACCAAAGGGGATGGTGACGGCTGTATACACTCCGATGGTCAAGTCAGGTTTAAGTGGTCGGAACAGTACCCAGGGGCTATGCAAATCAATGATAAAGGGGGAGGAGAAAATGTATAAGCTTGCTATGGAGTGCTGTGTTGTAAGAGTTTCATTACCTTTGCTTCTTACCAAACCTTGGGTATTTATAGGTGGTATGAACCGTTGGATGTGGGACACGTGTATACATTTGACGGTATGAGGCATCCGCTCATAGGTGTCAATCAGCCGCATCTGTAGAGTTGGCGGACAGTTTGTTTCTTCTGAGTTGAATTGACATAAAGTTGATAAGTCACATCAACTAGCCTCATGGAGACGTCAAATCAATTTAAACCTTAGGTGCAGGAAGGATCTTGGCACAAATCCCTTTCTGAAATTGGCAGTGGATCTTCTAACCGGGGTCCACTTGATCTCGACCTCGGAGGCGAGGTGCTTCAGTAGGTCAGTAGTAGGAATCAATATATCACTTCGGAAACACTTTGGACGGGTCGTTATCAGGTCGGAATATGTGGTGTTGCGAGTTCCGAGGCATATAAGATCGGGGCGTAACAATGATCATGTAAGATTTAACACCCAATTATGTTTGATTAATTGTAGACCACTTTGTTTCACTACAGATGTGGCTAAACACAGATCGGCTGATATTTAAACTGTTTTAGCTTCATACCAAGGTCATGATATTCCCAAAGAGTTCATCAAACAATCTAAAGAGCATCAAAAGTCAGTTATCCTCTTCATCGTATATCTCATTGTCGATTTTCTATTGGAAAAGTCAGTTATCTTCTTCATCACATATGTTATTGTGGGTTTTCTATTGGCATGAGTAGAATTTATTTTTTTTAATCCTTTTTGCCTTTTCATTTGTTTTGTGTTCCATCTCTAACCAGATCCCGAGCACAGGATAGGTAATTGAGAGATAAAGCTAGCCTATACATTAGAGGAAATCTATTATTACATGGTGCCACCATAAAGCGATAGTGAGACGCATATCTTCTTATTTTTTCTTCTATTTATCTTGTGTATCAATATTTTTATTAAATCTTTAATTTTTGGTGTAATCCTGGAGCCTTTCCCTTGACAATCAAGCTTGCCTAGGTACAGCATAGAAGAGGAAAAGTTTAGGATTGAGATTCGAGCATGAATTTTTCCCAATCTGCTCCATTATATGTTTTATTGTACAATATCAATTGACATGAGTGAATTTTCCTTTCTTTACCTATTCATTATTTCCTGCGCTCTTATGGTGTGGAGGCAATGAAAGAGCTTAATAGCATCAATGGATCATAGAGTTAGTTTTCTTGCTTTCTAATGTATTTAGGCTTTTAACTTAATAGAAATAGAAGCATTTTTTTGTTTTTCGGTCTCCTCTCTAATGCTTGTTTCTTGAAATTCTCTAATTTGTAAATCATACCCATTAATTTGGGGATCTTAACATAACTCCTAGTCTCGAAGATCACATTTCATAAATAACAATCTTATTAAAATATTTCACAAAATAGGTGGTAAATAGATTTGTTAAATATTAAAATATAAAATAATATACATTAATTATATCCACTCATGCCACCTCACCCATCCCATCCTATCACCCACTACACCACCTTCCCTCCACCTCTCCACCGGAGACGACTTCAGCTTTGGCAATTGCTTCGACGGTTGCTCCGACAGCCGCTCCGACAACTATTCCAGCTCACTGATAAAAAAAATTTCAAAAAATTGAAAACAATTTTTCTCTCTATAACCCATTCTATAAAAAAATTCCAAAAATTGTGGTGGTCGTAATGGTGCATTGTAAGTGATCAAATTGCAATTGTGTTATCTGTGACCATACCTGTGTCATAAGTGACTATTTATGATCAAATCTATTTTTGGTGAGATTGTATGTGATCATCTAATTTGTGATTGTATGTTACAATTCACTGACTTATATTATCTGTCATTAACTGTGACCAACTTTGTGATTAACTGTGACCAAATTTGTATTTAGTGTGACTATCTGGTGACTAAGTCAAATCGATCGCAATCAACACAAAATTGGTTACAAACAATCACAAGAAGCACATACTTGATCGTACAAGGTCATCACAAACAAATCTGCACACATCGTAGACTTGTGATTAACCATGACCAACTTTGTCTTTAGTGTAACTAACTGTAACCAAAATTGTATTCACTGTGACTATCTATGACCAGGTCAATCTCAAGTCACAACCGGCCACAAAACCATCATAGCTTACACTACCATCAATGAACCACAAATTAGAAAATTACAACACCCCCACCACTACCATGAGCACCATCGCATCTATAATATTTGTCTCCACAATTAGTACCAACACAACACCCGCAAAACTGCCGCACCACGACTGCACAACACACCCACAGTACACCACCACTACCATATCCTCTATCTCCTTCTACATCATACCACCACCACCCTACTAAAAAATCCATAAACTCGCTGCCGCCATCACCACAACACACTACCACTACTAGCACCTCAAAAATCATATCAAAACATGCTGCAAAGTCACCACAAAATCCATAGAAAATCACCAAAATTGCCCCTATAATATGCAACATTGGAGGAAATTTTAGAACCACAAGTGGCACTGCAGCACCTTAACTCCGTCGCAGTGAGCTTGTAGCAACCCGCACTCATTGAAATCTACAGTGATTGCAACCATTGCTCACAATACTGTTGCGAATGGCTGTAATCACCGATACAATAGGCAATCGATCTTGTGAAACTCCGATGAGAGAAGTAGTAAGTGTCTGAAATCTAGAGGGTGGGGTAGGGAAGAAGCCGTTTAACCGCTGCGAGTGGTTGTAGTCGCCGATGTAGTAGGCGACCAGTATCAGAAAACTCTGGTGAGAGAAGTAGTAGGTGGCTGAAATCTAAATGGCAGGGTGTGGAAGAAGTTGTCGACCTGATTTTAGGATAAGAGAATGACCATCTGATTTTTGGGGAAGAGAGAGACTGTGTAGGTCAAAAATGAAGTGTGTAAAATAAGTGTTCATGGGTGATAGAGTGGGTGGGTGTAATTAATTTGTTTTAATTAATTTAGAAATTAGTATTTACCACCTGATTATTAAAATATAATCTTTCATGCACTTGGTTTTGAAATGTAATCTTGAAAGGAAGGGTTGTAGGTAATTTTCCCATTAATTTGTGTGACACTGCTTTTGTTGATTTTATGCCAATTCACATCAGCATCAGTAATTAAAAAAATTTAGTGGAAGTATTATGGAGAGGATGTGTCCTTTATACGATGTTATCTTGGTTGTTGAGTCAAATAGCGCACCGTCTTCATAAGAACGAGATAAAGAAAGTTCTCTTATTGTGGTTCTTGACCCCCTCAATCTAAATAAGTCTGGAACAAACTGGTTGTTATTGTATTTCAATGGCTTATCTTGTATTTTCGTATTAATATTATTGAACATGATATGTTGTGTTAGCATTTTTTTTCTTTGTTTTGGTATTTTCACCATGTTGAGCTCTATGCCGATTACGATACAAAAATGTTGCTTCCATTTCTTTATAGTATCCATCATTATAAACTGGAAAGTGTTTGTTCTATGAGTGGGCTATTCTTCTTGATCTTCCATCACCCGTCATCTCTAAAACTTTGTGATATTTTATTTCAAGCTTATGACATTTGAGTCAAATGAGATTTATTGAGAGAGCAAGTATTTATCCTTGAAGGATGGGAAACTGAAAGTAAGTTGTAGCAGTAATTACTAATAAATTGGGGGATATTGAATAGATGCCCATCTCTGCTCACATTAATAATTCATTTTCCCTTTTTTTGTTTTGAAATTGCTCAATAAGAGAACATATCTCATATTTTGTCCAGGCAATCAAATTCTTAAGCATGCAACATGATGCTAGCCTGAATAAATCTGGGATGGTAAGCCGTGAGCTCTTGATGACAATAAATTGCAATTGCAAAAGTATGATTACTGCCTTTTTCAAATTTCAAATTTTCTTTGCTGGTTTGTTTAATTTTTATTCATTGGCAGGTTGGGCTATTGTTGAAGCATACTGTTGGCAACTTTGATCCCCTATATGTTGTAAATATGTTGCCAAATGACTTGGAGATTCCTCGATAAGTATGTTCTCTACTTTTTTTTTTATCGTTCTAGTGGTTAGTTTGCATAACTTCTTTTTCTACAATTACAAGAACATTTTTCATGTTGAATGCGATGTGGATGAAAAACTTTTTGGGTTTTCTGTTGGGTTCTGTTATTTTACCTAAATTGACATGTCAATTGCTTTTTCATTTAATTGTTCACATGGGTTGTGTTGGAAGAAAGAGAAGTTTACTAACTTGGATTGGTAGTTTGATATGAAGGACAAAACTTTCAGGAAGAAGTAAGTGACCAAAAATAAACTTCTATTTCTTAACTTCAAAACTTATACACTTGACTTATTACAAAATTGAGGATCATATCCCTTTATATAGTGTTTACATGAAACTTCTAATCCACACATTTTTTTCTAGAGACTCCTAGACAATATGTGTGAAACTTTTAGACCACATATTTGGACAAGATATTTTCCTAGAATACTCTAGATAGACTTTATAAAGCCACATTTATCACCACATCTTTTACTTAGATATTTTCATAGATTTTTCCAGACGATATTTCTAGAAATATTAGTTATCTTAGGCTTTTTCATTGAATTGGACCTATGAGCAAGATCCTTAAACCCATATTACTTAGTTCAAAATTAAGTTTACTTCTCAACATCCCCCTTAAAATAGTTTTGCTACTTCAAGTAGAGTTCTTAGCTTGCGGTTCACATCTTGAGTTACTTAGTGAGAATGTGGATGATTGCTACTCAGAGATTACATATTTCAACTACACTTTTTTCTTTTCAATGATTTCTCTTATGAAGTGATATTTTGTATCAACTTGTTTCCTTTTATTATAGAATACTGGGTTCTTTGTGAATGCCAGTGTCGATTTGTTATCAACATGGATTTCGGTTGGTTCTTCTTGTGAAACTCCAAGCGTATTCAACAAATTTCTAAGCCAAATCGCATGGTAGATACTTGATGTAGTTGCAACATATTCAACTTGACATGTACATAGCGCCACGATCAATTGCCTCTTCAAGCTCTAAGTGAATACAGTGTCGTCCAAGTAGAACACATACTCAATCAAACTCTTTCTAAAATTAGTGTCTCTATCCCAATTGCTATCACTATATCCGACAAGTTTAAATTCATTAGATGATGAATAGATTAAGCCATAGTCATGCGTATCTTTGATGTGAAGAATCCTCTTTCCAGCTTTCACATGCGTCATGGTAGGTGTCTCCATATACCGACTGATGAGCCCAACTCCAAAGAGGATATCTGGTCTTTTGTATGTCAAGTATCTTAGACTTTCTTTAAGATTCTTAAATAGTGTTGGGTCCACTTTTTTACCTTTATCATTCTTTGACAACTTGGTTTTGCATTTGATGAGAGTGCATACGGGCCATATTGAATTTTTTTAGAACTTCTTTTGCATACCCTTCTTGTAAGATAAAGATAAAATCCTTCATTGTAGGCCACGAGGTTGATATTTGTCATCTTGAATTCTTAAGCCAATGCCTTTTTAAACTCAGTGATCATATTTAGATTATTTCCTGTGGATATAAGATCATCTGCATACAAACAAACAAGAAAAGTATCTCCTTTCTCATTTACTTTCGTGTAAAGGATATACTCGTGAGGGAATTTTATGAAGTCATTTTCTAGAAAATACTTGTCGATTCTACTATTCCATGCCCTTGGAGCTTGTTTTAACCCATATAAAGCCTTTTTTAATTTTAAAACTTTGCCTTCATGGCCTTTTATTTTATAGCCAACTAGTCGCTCCACGTAAACTTCTTTTTTAAGATAACCATTTCAGAAAGCTGATTTCATGTCCATTTGAAAAAATTTCTACTTATTTTGCACCGCAAAAGAGATAATTAATCTTATGGTTTCTAAACGAGCAATAGGGACAAATACTTCTTCATAGTCGATTCCCAATTGTTGGTTGTAGCCTTTGACAACCAATCTTGCTTTGTATCTCTCCACTTCTCCTTTAGCATTCTTCTTTGCCTTGTATACCCATTTAACTCCAATTGTTCTTTTTTTTCCTTTGGGAAGAGTCATTCGCTTCCACGTGTCATTATTCTCTATAGCCTTAATCTCTTCATCCATGGCATCTCTCCATCTTTTACTTTGCGCTGCTTCTTCATACCCTATTGGCTCACAATTGGCAAAAAGACAACGAAGTGTGAGATCATTTTGATTCTATGTTACCTCATATAGCTCTTGTAGGCTCCTCATCCGTGGTGTCCTTCCGCTCAAGCATTCTCCTTGTGAAGATGATGGTAAAGCCTCTCCATGAGTAGGTGATGGAGGTAGACTTGTAGGCTCTTGCTGCTCTCTATTTTCTTGTTATTTTTCCTCAAAGAAAGGAAAGAAATCATGGTCTTCTTCTTGGACACCCCAATCCCAAGCTCCTTCTTCATCAAACTTGACATCTCTACTTATGGTTGATCTTTTCCTTGCTTGAATTATATAACTTGTAGCCTTTAGAGCAAGTGTCATAGCCGATAAAGACATAACTTTCACTCTTGTTATCTAAACTACTTTTGATTAGGCACATGAACGTATGCAATGCTTCCAAATACTCATAGATGAGAGATGCTAGGATTCGTTCCACTCCAAGTACTTTTGAGCATGCAGCAGGCCATATTAAGAATGGATCTATTCTTTCTTTCGGCTACTCCATTTTGTTGTGAAGAGTATGGAACTGTCGATGGGCGACAAATTCCATTCTCCTAACAATATTTCTCAAACTTTTTGGAGGTAAATTCTCCTCTTTTATTCGATCTTATAGCTTTTATGCTATAACCACGTTCTTTTTCAACAAGAGTTTTAAACTTTTGGAAAGTTCTAAAACCTTTCGATTTTTGTTTGAGAAAATAGACCCAAGTCTTTCTACTAAAATCATCAATTGAAAAAACAAAGTAATTGTTCTTACCAAGAGAGCTTGGATTGATTGGCCTAAAAACATCCGAATGTACAAGTTCTAGTGGCTTCCTAATTCTTGTAGATGCTTCTTTTGGAAAATTTTTCCTCAAATGCTTTCCAAGTAAGTATCATTTGATCTGCATGATTTATTGGAGGCAAACATTTCACCATCTTCTTCTTACTCAACAACTCTAAGCCTCCAAAATTCAGATGCTCAAATCTCAAGTGCCAAAGCCAAGATAAATCTTTAAAATAAGCTTTTAAACATTTTGCAACATCATTTTAAGTGCTTAATGCAAACATTCTATTTCTTATTATAGGGACATTGACAATCAAATTTTCTCTTTGATCTCTTATTGAAAGATTTTGATCTTTCAAATGAATATCATAGCCCTTCTTTAAGAACTGTCTCAAACTTAAAATGTTATTCTTCATATTGGACATAGAATAGAGATTTGAGATAAATTGGTGCATACTATTCTTCAAGCGGATCAAGATTTTACCTTTTCCTTTCACTAGGATATTGGATTCATCTTCAAAGGTAATGCTACTGCTTACTGATTCATCAAATTCCACGAACATGTTTTTTCTTCCACACATATGATTGCTTGCTCTTGTATCCAAATACCAAGTGTTCTTTTCTCTACTTTTTTCACTTTTGTAAGCCAACAATAGTGCATGATCCACTTCACTTTCTCGACTAGCATAGTTGGCTTTCTCCTCAACTTGGTTAGTAATATTTCTATATTCTGAAGCATAATGACCAAGTTTTTGACACTTGTAAATTTAACTTGATATTTGTCATACCTTGGCCTTTCATTTTGCCTTGTACCTCTTCCTCTTCCACGACCTCTAGTAGAAAATGAGCTTTGTTTTCTTTCCTCCTTGTAGAATGCACTTTTTCCTCAATCCTAGCCATGTCCTCTTACTCATTAACTTCTTCTATTGTCGAACCCTCCTTCACCCTCGTTCAAAGTGAGCTTTGTTTGAAGAGCTTGCTCTAATGGGTCTAATTTCACTTTCTTCTTTAGCCTCTCTTCATCGGCTTGTAAAGATCCCATGAGTTGATTGACACTCATACTTTCTAGATCTTTAGATTCCTCAATGACTACAACTATTTAGTCAAATTTAGAATCTAAAAACTTAAGTATCTCCTCAATTACTCGAGTGTCGTTCAACTTTTCTCTATTCCTCTTTAATTGGTTCACAACTCTTGAAATGTAATCGGAAATTGATTCTGATTTTTTCGTATGTAAAGCTTCAAACTCACCTCGAAGTACTTGGAGTCGAACCTTTTTAACCTTCTCAACTCCTTCGTGAGAGTTTTGCAAGATCTCCCATGCTTTATTACTCGAAGTAGCACAAACTACTTTCTCGAACATATCTTCGTCTAGGGCTCGATAGATGATGGTGAGCGACTTTTTGTCCTTCCTTGCATCCTTCAAACTTGTTGCAATAATTATAATTTATTAAGACCAATATTAAATTTTCAAATATGTGTGTGTGTGTGTGTGTGTGTTCAATTAATTATAAACGAGATTAATAGTTTATATGAAGCTCCTCACATAAGTTACATAACCTGCAACAACGTGCAATTCCGAACCAGTATTTTCAAATATTTGAGTAAAAGTTTCCTATCCCTTAATTAAATCTAAACTAACAAAAAACACAATATTCAAGTTTAAAAATATTGAAGTGTCAATTTTCAAATAGTACTATTCATCTAAAATTTAGATGATCATTGATTTATGTGACAATGAGATCATTTTAACATTTTTTCAATATTTAAGAGCACCTTCAGAATAACAATTTTACAACAATATGGCTAGCAAAATGGGAATATAGACAAAAATTAAGCTACTTTTACACTCAAAGTGTACACCTTGGTTTTTCACCTTCTATGTGATAGAATCTGACCATTGATTAAAAATGGTGGTGTTAAAATCAGTGTATGAAAATTTGGCAATTAACATAGGTGTAAATCAAAGTGTCAACGTTGATGTACATATAGAACGGTTCATATACAAAGTATAATGTAATATAACACCAATGGTGCTACCATATGTGACACTACATTGTATGTTCAATTAAACCCCCATTTGATATCCATTAAATCAAAATTCCATTTTTTCTAAAATTTATTTTGATTATACATTTACACAATAAAATATTTTGTACGTAAGTATAAAGCTTTTTTCTGTTTTTTAGCCTTAAATTTTCCAAAATGAATTTTAAACTTTTTTCTTTACATTGCATTTTTTTTATTTTTCTTTTTACTTTTTGGTCTATATGACGGAAGTACCATTGCATTCAATTTACACACTATTATGCTCTCAAATTTTATTTTTTTTCTGATTTTCGTAATTTGTTTGTTATTATACCACTTCAAAAAAATAAAATAAAATAAAATAAAATAAAATAAACTCTTCACTATATAATATCTACTTTTATATTTGTTATTACATTATTATACCACGTAATTTACATAATATCTACCTCATCATCATCTTTTGCGAACAAAAATAATTTATTCATTTTTTACCAAGCTTCCAAAGATTCGACAAAAATGTCAATTGTGTTACCATGTTCAGTAAGATAAAAGGACGGAGGCAGCATTTCTTTAATCTTTGATGTCGTATGTTCTGTTGGAGGTAATTCGTACATACATTTAGTAATATTATATCTTGATGATGATAATTTATTTCTTATAAAGAAACTATTTATTTTTAAATACGTTATATCAAACAAACACAATCGTTACGTTGCACAAATTATTGTACATTCTTTACAAGATTTTGGTTTTATTAAAAAAAATATTTAGTGCATCTTGTATTCTGTGTGGTTAACAATAGTATTTTATGACATCTGTAACAATTAATTTTTATTTATTTATTGTACTGATAGAGTGTTTGAATATATTTGCTATGTTAATGATATAATCTGCCGCTTTTACATTTGATGGTCATTTGATAAATTGGGGATTGCAAAATCCACAAGTGTAATATATGCATTTTATTTTATAATCTCATATTTTAATTTTTTATGCTATGTGAATCATGCTTTCAGCTTAATTTTGTTATACAGTCATTATTAAATATTTTTACAATGCAGAGGTGAAAATTTTTATTATTAAAAGTATGTGTCACGATGAAAAATATTGTCAAACATATTTTTCATCATATACAAATTGTTTTTTTTTTTCCTCAGTGTAGTTTTGATCCCCGTCTCAAATTGCATGCGTGAAATTCTACTTTTAGTTAATTTAAATTTTACTTTTGAAATAAATATATCATCGCTATGTGTAAAGAATTATAAGATTGTGTAATTTGTACTCCAACACGAACTATATTGATTGAACTTTTTTAGACTTCAAAATATATGAAACTCATATTATTGTAGCATCTACATAGGACGATACATTAATAACAGGGGTCGGCTTCTTCAATTGACTTCAATATTGAAATACAAAGCAATATCAATACTCGATATCTTTTGATATAGTTCGAGACTTGTTCACAGCATTTGAGACTTTATCATCACTTACAGACATAAGGTCTATCATGAAAAACACATATTAAATCAAGATACAACATGTGGTTGAAGCAATAGTATAATCCGAGTAGAAGCACATGTTTGTATGTGTCAGTGGCTTCAAGAAGATGAAGGTGGCTTTCTGGTATCTTTTTAGATCTGCGAAGACTACTAAGGTAGTATTCTAAAATATATTTCGTTTCTTTATTCGTAATCAAATTGTATTATTTCATTTTTTTTCCCCTAAAAATTGCACACGAAATAATAATTTGTGTAGAATTTTAACTAAGCTTAGGTATCATGTAGTTGATACCAAGTTTGATAAAGGAGGAATATTTTTACAAGTTTACAATTATTTTGATAAAATAAAATTTTCCTTATAAATTTACATTTTTATTATATTTCAAGGCGTAAAAATGTCAATTTTCAATTTTTTTACAATATATAAATATTAGTCGTAGCTCATCCCTCCAAGATGCAAGTTAAATATATAAATAAATAATCTAACCCCAATTTGGTCCCTATTTTTTGAAATGAAAATGAGTGGAATGTTTTATTTTTTAATTAAAAATGAATTGTTGAAAAAGAATGAATTTTTTAATTTATGTATAATATTATAGAAGATTGTGTGATTGAAAAGAAAAGAAAAAATAAAACGAAAATTAATAAGATTCAAACGAGGCTAAATATATTTGCAAACCAGCTAGCTCCGACTCGACTCATTTAATACACCTAGGTCTATTCACTTTTTGAATAAAATAAAGCTATGCTGTCAGATGAATTTTGTCCACCTCGGTGACCAACCTTCACATTGGTATGGGATCTGTCCCGATCTCGTGTGAATAAAAAATGGCACTTCACCTATCCCAATTCCCAATTGTGAGTGCAGGTCAATTGGAATGTGAGAATAATTCTGCATAATTATTTTGAATATAGAAGCGAAAAAAAAAAAAAAAACGTTGGAATGTGGAAGACACCAGAATTATCTAGGAATATCTAGAAGACAACTTTCTTCCCGGAAAAATCTCTTTGTCGAAACTTCTGGAAATTTCAAATTCTTTCTTCCATCGTCCCCTCCCCGTTAATAAATACCATCTCAATTTCTCCTCCTTCCCCACAATCGAATCTTCATAAATATTTAAATCTTTCATTAAATTGCAGTAATCGATCGTATTGCCAATGGATTACAGCCCATTTTTGACAAATCACTGGTCTCCACAGCAACCATTAAGCCGTAAATATGCTCGTTCGCCTTCTGTCCGCGGCATTCCGGTTCACACAGCGGAGCCGTCGCGGCCCGCTCATCCGATTCAACCCCCGCCGGTTAAAACTTCCTCTCAAAAGGTGGTTCAAATACCGGTACACTTTGTCGGATCGGAGTCGACCCGCTGGGCTTCTGCTTTGAAGATCCAGAAGGTTTTCAGGGGCTTTTTGGTGAGAAAAAGCGTGAAGAAGATCAAGGGTGTCAAATTCCAGGTTGATGAGATTGAAGAGAGGCTTCTGAAAAGTGAAGTTGTGAATTTGATTGAGAGAGATGAAAAAGAGAGGTTGAAGATGAATGAGAGCTTGATGGCTTTGCTTTTTAAGCTGGATTCTGTTAGAGGTATAGAGTTGGGAGTTAGGGATTTGAGGAAGGTGGTGATTCGAAAAGCTATCGCGTTGCAGGAGAAAATTGATGCTATCGTTTCCGTTAATTCGGAAAATGCTAGTGAAATTAATGACGTTGATGAGCCATCGGAGGCCACCGATCAAGCCATAGAAATTGATTCAGAGAAATTGGGCAATGGGAATTCTGACAATTTTTACGTCCTCACAGAGCATTCACCCACATTGTATGATTCTGCTGAAAATAATTCAGAAAATTTGGGGAATGTACATATATATCTACATACATATATATGTACATATATGTACATATATATATGTACATATATACATGTATATATATGTACATATATATGTATGTAGATATATATGTACATATATATGTATATGTACATACATATATGTACATATGTACATATATATATGTACATATATATGTATATGTACATACATGTATGTACATATACATATATATGTACATATATGTATGTACATACATGTATGTACATACATATATATATGTACATATATATGTATATGTACATACATGTATGTACATATATATATATATATATATGTACATATATATATGTACATATATATATATACACACTATAAAATATATGTGTATATATATGTATGTAGATATGTATATACATATATATATATATATATAGATATAGTTTTAAAAACAGTTGAACTTAGGGTTCAACATAAAAAATCAGAGAGCATTTCGAGAGTTGTGGATCAAAAATTATGAGTATTTGAAGTGAGAAAATCGAGTAAACTTGAAATTAGGAAAAGAATAGCAATTAGTGTCTTGGACAATTACGAGTGGACTACACGAGACCATTTGATGCTGTATATGTACATATATATATATATATAGTACATATATATATACATATGTACATATATGTATATTTATATATGTACTAGATATCTACATATACATACATATATATATATATATATATATATATGTGTATATATATATATGTACATATGTATATGTATATATATATATGTACATATGTACATATATATAGTACATATATCTATATATATACATGTATGTATATACACACTATAAATTACACAAATAATTCTGGAAAAAATTAGAAAATGGATAAGTTAGCAAGTTAAGAAATGATGAAAATGGTGAAAATAGAAATTAATTAATAAACAACGATTACACAATACACCGAATGCTTAAAAGAAAATAAAACTGTTGTATGGTCACTCGATCATGTTATAAGGTGGATAAAGCATCTAAGTGAATCAATTATAGTAAGCGATTCAATTTCGTCCTATCCATTCTACTTAAACAATATACTTTAGATTTTATGAATCGAAATATGAAAATCATCTAGCGTGAGGAATTCCATCAAACACAAAACATGCATTAAAATTCACATTAACAATCGTTACACTATACACGAATACACATACACATATCACTAAAGCAATTCAAAAAATCTAGAAAATGAAATTGAACTTACACAAGTGAAACTATTTCTTATTATTGCTTCAATTACAATTTCAATTTATATCTACAAAGGAGAAATTAAGTTGATTATCGAGCTGTTGTTGATGAAACATTTATGTAATTTTGGTTGCAATGTTGTCATCGTATTTTAGATATCTCAATTTGGGTTGGGAGAAACCCATAGAAGCAGTCCTAGTAATTCCATTATTTTAGTATCCCTTTTGTCATGTAACATAACAGATATCGTTTCTAATCTATTTTCTATCTATTTCTTTTCTATATATGAAAATTCGTAGCGTTTTCTTTTTGAGGAAAAAAGGGATTTCTTGACAATAACTGAGTAATTTATCATCTAGGTATTTGGTTATTTTAAAAATCATATTAAAAAAAAAGAAATAAAAAAATGAAAAAAGGAAAGGAGTTGTTCATTCCCACTCCACCCCTATTGGTAAACATTTTAACAATCGTTACACTATACACGAGTACACATACACATATCACTAAAGCAATTCAAAAAATCTAGAAAATGAAATTGAACTTACACAAGTGAAACTATTTCTTATTATTGCTTCAATTACAATTTCAATTTATATCTACAAAGGAGAAATTAAGTTGATTATCGAGCTGTTGTAGATGAAACATTTATGTAATTTTGGTTGCAATGTTGTGATCGTATTTTAGATATCTCAATTTGGGTTGGGAGAAACCCATAGAAGCAGTCCTAGTAATTCCATTATTTTAGTATCCCTTTTGTCATGTAACATAACAGATATCGTTTCTAATCTATTTTCTATCTATTTCTTTTCTATATATGAAAATTCGAAGCGTTTTCTTTTTGAGGAAAAAAGGGATTTCTTGACAATAACTGAGTAATTTATCATCTAGGTATTTGGTTATTTTAAAAATCATATTAAAAAAAAGAAATAAAAAAATGAAAAAAGGAAAGGAGTTGTTCATTCCCACTCCACCCCTATTGGTAAACATTTTAACAATCGATCAAATTAAAACAATAGGGGATGACGGATTATATGACAGAGAAGAGAAAGACGAAAGAAGATTCAATTACTTGCTATCGATTGTCATGATCGAGTCATTGAAAGTCACAAATTGCAATATCCGCTTTCACTCTTCAAGTTTTCTCGAGCTTTGCAGTGGGTTTTTATTGTTAATTGGTAATGGTAGACAATTGCAGGTGTTGGTGGTTGTGACAGGTGACGATGGTGGGCTTGGAAAGGAGATGAACAGTTCTTAATCATTTTGCTTTTTATTTTATCTTATAAATTATTTTATATTAAAATTATAAAATTATTATTATGTCTTTTTTTATATTTGGTCGAAGTCAATTTTTTTTTTTACCAACTAAAGGTCAAATGGATATAATTCATCCATCTACTCTTCTACTGCAACAAAATGAAAATTTTGAAATTGTGAGTGGCACATATGATAGATTTGGATAAAGTTTGTGAGAAGATGAAAGATTTGAGACTGTGACTGCAGTTTCTCCTATTTTATATACCACCCAAAACCAAAAGGATATTCGAAGGACTCAATTGTCATTATAACAAATATTGAAATCCAACACTGATCCAGTCAGTCAATCTTGTCATCTCCGTCACCAACTACCGCTCACAAAAACCCTCAATACTCTGAAACACCATCCACACACACAGACTCATAAGAATGGCGGTGACATATGCAGCTTTAGTAAGTCTTCTTCAATCACAAACGCTAACTAGTTAGTTTATATGCTCCATTTTTCACTGAATTTATATTTTATTACTTAATTGTTTTTCTTTTATGTTTGAATTTTGCAGCCAAATATTAGCTCAATTTCAGCTCCACGAAGCTTCAATTCTACCAAAACAACAAAATCCGTTTGCTCTTTTTCATCTTTGAAGCTTCAGAAATCTGCATTATCTTCGACCTTTTTATCCGATTCGTTATGTCTCTCTTCTTACCCGGTTCAGAACACAACCAGCAGCCGATTTTCCCCCGTTCGAGCCATGGCTGAGGTGGTATTTTTATTTTTATTTTTGGTTATTTTTCCTTATTTATAAATTTGTGGGTTTCTGTTTGGAACACGAAAAATGTGGACGGAAGGCAAAAATAAATATTTTTTTTTCTCTCTCTGGATATTATGGAAATCTCTGGATATTATGTCCTGTCTGTGCTAATTAGAATGAATACAAAAAGCTGCTCATTCTTTTTACTGTTTGAAAATGCTTTAATTAAAAATAAATGTATAGTGAAAATTTTTCTTAACAATAATATTTGCACTGGGAAACTCTTTGTTATACTAATAGATATTTGGATTTTACAAAATAATTGATTCAAATTTTGGAGAAATCACTTTCAATGGTGTTTGAAGATTTGCAATTGATTTTAAGAAGATATTTGCTACTTTTTGTAGCAATAAATCACTATTTGCATTTCTCTATGCATAAGACGTCAATGCTGAATGGCATGAATTGCGAGTTTGAGAGTTTTTCTAATGATGTGATTATTGTAACTCAGGAAGCATCACTGCAATCAAAAGTGACTCAAAAAGTCTATTTTGATATAGGCATTGGAAATCCTGTAGGAAAGCTCGTAGGAAGAATTGTAATTGGACTGTATGGTGATGACGTGCCCCAAACTGCTGAGAATTTCCGTGCTTTATGCACAGGTTTTAATATTATTTCACTTGGGCTCTTCTGCAGTTTTTTTTTTTTTTTTTTTTTTTTTTTTTTTTTTTTCTTTTTTTATTTTTGTTTTTTTTTTTTTAAAAAAAATAAAGATTTTTTTTTTCTGGTATTGTTACTTCATGTTCTTGG